TTTGTGCTGAGTCGTCTGGTTCTAACCCAAGCATGATGGTATCAAACACAAAGCACACGGCAAAGGAAAGATGCTCCCATCTCATTCTGAAAACAAGTATTGATAACCGCCCTCCCCCCACCCCCACCTTTGGGGCCAACCCTTGTTATGGTGCAGGGCAACCTTGAAAATTTAGAGACGGATTTAGGTTTCTCTCTCTCCTGTACTTCCCACGGAAGATCATTTTGGAATTTAGTCCGATCCTAAAGGAAAGGCAAGTTTCTCCATGTATGGGGAGAGACAAAACGGCCCAGAGGCAGCCATAACCGCAGGCTGGACAATGGGCTGAGGTTATGTAAATATTTAGAGGGAATAGTTTTCATCCAAGTGAATGAATCACTGGAAAAATATCACCATTACTTAAAATAAACACCCTACACCAGAACACGAAAACGATTCCCAATAGTAACAAATGCTCCTTATTGTGAAGGGGATTTAAAAAGAGAGACCAGGATTTCACCTAGTCCTTAGAGCAGCGGTTGCCAACTTTAGGACCTCACGGACCACCAGCGGTCCGCGGACCACCGGCTGGCGACCGCTGTCTTAGAGCATCTTTCCATTTTACAATTCCTATTCAAGAGTCAAGCACCAAAACTGGACAGCCGCCTGTACAAGACCGCGTCCAGTCCTGGTGTCCCAGACAGTTAAGTGCCACTCCTCATCCGAGGCTATACTCAGTAATACTTTCAATTTAAAGTCTGTGCTTTAAGAGGGACCCACAGGCACGTGGCACCAAGCAGACAGTCTGAGGATGGCAGAGAGGACTGTGCTGTTTATAATCACTCGCATTCTGGCGAGATATAAAACTGCATTTATGAGCTTTCTTGCTTTTCTTCTAGAATGATCCCTCTTATCTTGCCAGAGATGGGAGAGAAAGAGAGCGCTGCATCAGTACACAGTAAGATATATATTTTTTTTGGTCAAAAGTTGATGCCTTTTAAATTCCCTCCCTCCTCTCCTCCCTGGAAAGTTACTCCCTTAAGAAGGGCTTGTACTTAGTTGCCAACATTGGCTGCAGAAGAGCCCATGTGGCGTGGACACCCAATGAATGAGCTTGTTTTGGGGGATTTGTACTGTGCAGCTCTTGCTAGTTGTAAAGAGATTAGGGCTATATCTCTCATCAGGAGGCATCTGTAGGATTTTGATCTTCAAGGAATTTTGGATGAGTCATTTGGATGAGTCAAAATCATTTTTGTTTAGAACTACACAGAGTCAAAAAAGCAACTTTGAATAACTGATTTCTTTATCCAGATGAGTTAAGCATGAAAACATAGGAAGGACTTGTACTATTTTAGGGCTTTGAAAAACAATGGAATATGGAAATAAAAAAAAAATTATTTTGCTTTTTTTTTTTTTTTTTTTAAACCCTAGATGCCTCCTGATTGACCTAGTACACTGGGTTAAAGGGGAATTAAAAATGTTTTTTTTAAAAAAAGTTCACTGGTTTTGATTCATCTCACTCCTTTTGCCTGGAGATCAGGCCAAACATCAAGCATGTTGGGAGGGGCACAATTTAATGCAACACTATTGACTGTAAAGCACTGCCAGCGATTTACAATGCGAACAGGACAGTTCTCGTCACAAAGCTAGCGGAGGGCAGGCAGCAGCTCTCAGGGTTGCCCATCCCTGCAAGTTTACGTGTCCAAGTGGGCAGAGGGCAACAGCACAGGAAGTGACACACGGAAACGGAGCCCAGAACTGCTAACCTCCCCGGAGCTGGTACTGGCTAATATTGTGCAAGGCAAACCCACGCTTTATACATCTACTGCTCAATCACTGCCGCTCAAGGGAGCTCCCGCACTGCGATGCACATTCTTTGTCCCCTTTTGCAGAACTTAAAAAGTTTCTCAAACTTTTAAAAAGGGGGAAAAAGCACAGAGAGTCTTTCAAAGTTGGACGGGTGTTTGAAGTTTCCTTGCTCCCTCGGCAGGCCTCCTCTAAAGATGCCAGAGACAGTGTGGCAGCCGCAGTGAAGACTCCGGGGCCCTTTCTCAGCACAGGGTCCCCACAGGAGTCTGCTGCTACAGTAAGAGGTCAAAGTACTTTCTAGAATTTAGTGTTGCGGAAAACTGAGCCCCTCTCATCTTAGCTGCTCCCATAATCACTCTAATCCCCTTAATCCCAGCAACCTTCATAAAAAAAAAGATATATATGTATGTATATATATATGTATGTATATATATATATACACATATATATGAACGCAGAAAAAAACGTATTTACAAAGTTTATACAAGTGTACACACCCAGTTTTCTATGGGACACACTCTGCCACAGAGGAAAGAGGTCAAGGCCGACAGGCTACCCCTCAGTGCCCTAACTGCCATGGAGAGCACGTGACCAGTCTCAGGGCTCCAGAGCACAGAGGCTAGCTGTATGGCTCCTGCAGCGACAGACGCTCTTTCCTTTGGGAGCAGTGATGTTTCATCTACTCAGCCCAGAAGAAACTTCTGCTTGGGATTGTGTGGCTGTTCCTTAAATACATGTATTTACAGTGCGGATGAACTGCAGTTGCATATCAACTCCTCCACTTAAAGAAAAAATGGTGCTTAACATTACTAATAGGCTTCATTCATCCTTCAGCCCTGGGCTTGAGCACTGGGTCGAAAGGGAAAAGAGACTCCAACGTGAAATCAAAATGAAATAAAACGTTTTAAAAGAAAAAGAAAAGAAAAAAAAAAGGAAAGAATTACTACTGTTGATTCCTTGGGCTGTGTCTAAAAGATGATATTCTGAATGGTCTCATAGCATAAGGCACTTCGCACAAATAAGTAATAAGCTCTTCAGGCTTAAAAACGGATGAGTCATCAGGGAGAAGTTGAAATGCACAAGAGTCAGCTGTTGGAGAATTCGGAAATAATAGACAAGCTTGTGTGTTCATCAAGATTCTTCTCTTTTTAGGGTTTCTCCCTTCTCTTCTTTCTCCTCCTTCCTTGTCCCCCTTTCCCCAGAAAACATTTTTAAAAATCCAGCAGTTAGTGCAACTAATGTTCAGTCAGCACACAGTGCAAACAAGTGGAACAAAAAAGGCAAATTCCTTCTTTTCAGCTTTTTTCTCTTCACCAGTTAAAAAAGAAAAAAATGTCTGAGTTCTTTTAAGTCTTCATAGTTCCAAAATAAAAGATGAAAAACCCACAAAGAGAAGAGCATCCCCCCAAATGATGTGTCACAGATCCAAGCAAGCCTTCTTCAGTTTGCTAAAGCCTAGGAAAGAAGAAACCTAAAATCAACATCTGTGAAAACAGTATGAACTAGGGTGTCCAGGTTTCTACACCCCATTCCAAATACTCTCTCTGTAATAGCGTCTACTCAGCTCTTAGCTACTGCAGAGTCCATGCAGGATTAAGGAATGTCTGCCAGGCATACCAGAGGCAGAATGAGAGCCTGATAATTTTGGCCTCAGCCAGCAATCATTCACAACACATAAAGCAACTTTTTTTTTTAACCTTACACAAACGTAATAAATAGCTTGCCAATATACTAACAGTGGCTAGTTTTATGTTTAATATTTGACATTAAAAATTTTTTAAAAGTGAAAGTAATTTGAAAAATCTAAAAATAACAGGTAAAATGTTCATTGCTAATTTGGAATTCATCAGCTCTCAATTAATCATATTTTCCTTATAAAAAATTCCACAAGTCTACTTTCCTCTATGTTGAGCCTTGTTCTGGGCATTTCTATCAGAGCCCAATAGTCACCAAGAGATTAAGTGAGAGAGTGGTGCAGAAAACCAGAGTGGGCATTTTAAAAAGAGGTAATTGCTTAGGGCCGTGGTCGGCAAACTGCGGCTCTCAACCAACATGCGGCTCTCAGGCCCCTTGAGTGTGGCTCTTCCACAAAACACCACAGCCTGGGCAAATCTATTTTGAAGAAGTGGCAATAGAAGAGGTTTAAAAAATTTGGCTCTCAAAAGAAATTTCAATCGTTGTACTGTTGGTATTTGGCTCTGTTGACTGATGAGCTTGCCGACCACTGGTCTAGGGGGTGTGACTCAGTGGCTGAGTGTCAAACTAGGAACCAGGAGGTCATGGTTAAATTCTGGGTCAGGGCACATGCCCAGGTTGCCAGCTCGATCCCCAGTAGGAGTGCGTGCAGGAGGCAGCCAACTGATGTTTATCTCTACAACTCCTCTCCCCGCCTCTCTCCAAAATCAGAAAAACAATTTTTTTAAATATACAAAAATTTAAAAAGACATAGTCATCCTCATAACCCAATTACACATTTGGCAATAAAGCACTGTAAGTCATTTAATTTGACTTACTGAGGCACCCATTTGAAAGGAAGAGTGAATGCCAAGAAATGATTGGATGATAAAGGAAAAGATAACAGAAAATATTTTCACACTCAAAATTGCTGAAAAAGCCGAAACTGGTTTGACTCAGTGATAGAGCGTCCGTCTGCGGACTGAAAGGTCCCAGGTTCGATTCCGGTCGGGGGCATGTACGTTGGCTGCAGGCAGATCCCCGGTGGGGGGTGTGCAGGAGGCAGCTGCTCGATGTTTCTCTCTCATCCACGTTTCTGGCTCTCTATCTCTCTCCTTTCCTCTCTGTAAAAAAATCAATAAAATATATATTTTTTAAAATTGCTGAAAAATATTCTCTTTGCTTTCATTATTTCTGAAGTCGGAATTTACCTTGGCACTGCTCCCAGTATCACATTACTTAGGAAGACTGCATTCAAGAACCACATTTACAGATTTTCTAATAAGACGAACCACAACTTCACCCCAGAGATAGCTACTTTACTGGCATCTATGCCGACAAGTGTTTTACTACCCTTCGCTGTTGTTACGGATGCCAAGACATCAAACTGCCCCCACAAAAGAGGGTTTTAATTTCTTTCTTTTCCTTAAACATATGCCCACTGAGCTGTTCCGTAGGCACCCAAGTGCTTGCTACGGTTTATGTTCTGTAGGCACACACGTGCTTGTTACAGTTTGCTGTAGGTACACACATGCTTGTTACGGTTTGTCATCTTCTACAGGCTCGCTGTGGTATTCCGCCACATACAGGCTCTTGTCAATGTTGCTCGGGATAGGTTTAATTTCTGTTCCCAGCTGCTCCTCAATACTTTTCAGGTTGAAGCGATCATCATATGTGATCAAGTTGATAGCTAAGCCAAGATGACCAAAGCGACCTAACAAAAAAAATTTTTTTTAATTAAAACATGAGTAAATATGAGAATGTGCATGTGTAAACCTGTAAGCATCAAAACCATAAAGAGTTAATGTTTCTGTCCAGTGCCACTCCGGGTACAGGAATTCTACTCTCCTCATATTCACATTACTTCCCCAAAGTAGTACTCTATTTTACCCTTTTCAAAGGACAAAATAGGTATTTTTGTCAAAAGTTGCCAAAATACACATACTAAATAGTAGTTACAGATTGTGTGAAGTTTCTCCTCTGTTAATTTTACCTCAAATTATGCATATGGTAGTTAACTATTCTTAATAAGTGTTCTAGAAGAAGTAGAAATTAGTCTTAAACACAGAACAACTATGTTAGTTTTAATTCGCTGTTCTCATTGCTACCCACGATTTCACACAAAACCCTACAAAATTTAGTGACTAAAGTTCTCAAAAAACAAAACAAAACAAAAAAAAAACCCCAAACGTCCACAAAGAGCATCGCCCTCCTGTCCTTCCTCACCTGATCTTCCAATACGATGGAGATAGGTCTCTGCCAGCTTTGGGAAGTCAAAGTTTATTACCACATTCACAGCTTGTATATCAATACCTCGGGTAAACAAATCTTAAAAAAATAAAAAATAAAAAAACCTCCATTACAACTTTCAATATTTAAGCAATTTTAAGCATTAAACATGTGTCTTGGTACTGTAATGCTACTTAACAAATATTTCTAGTATACCTTAAGTGTATTTCTTTCACTTAATAATTAAATGTATTTTCAAATTACTAGCATTATCTTTCATGCACATTATCACAAATAACTTTTTGTCACAAGTTATCTTTGCCCAATTCTACAAGGAAATTTTAAAAAATGGTCTAAGGTTGTGGTTGGCAAACTGCAGCTCTCGAGCCACATGTGGCTCTCTGGCCCTTTGAGTGTGGCTCTTCCACAAAATACCACAGCCTGGGCAAGTCTATTTTGAAGAAGTGGAGTTAGAAGAAGTTTAAAAATTTTGGCTCTCAAAAGACATTTCAATCGTTGTACTGTTGATATTTGGCTCTGTTGACTGATGAGTTCGCCGACCACTGGTCTAAGGTAACTGCAAATACAGGAAGAGACCAGGGTAACTGGTAAACTCGTAAAACAAATCTTAGGAATAACCAGTAATTTTATTTTCTTTCACCTGTTTTTTTTGCTGAATTATTTATGTCTGAAGTAAGCTAATCCCGTAATTACTATGTTAATTTTAGCTCTGAAAACTATAAATAGTAACAACAGTCTAATAACTAGGCTTTCCTTCTTCTACTGGCTCCTCACTCCAACATAATAATCCATGATGGTCATAATAATGTTTTTAAAATATTATTTTGAATCTGTAAGTCCTTGCTTTAAATGACATTCAAGGCCCTCCTCTGCTGGGTCTTATCATACTTTTCTAACACATCTCCTCAAAACTTCCTCTCTCTAAACCTTCCACTCTCCCTCCCTTGAACCTCTCCTCAGCCCTCTCTGGACCACTTGTGACACCAGTCCCCTAACTCAGTGATCGGCAAACTCATCAGTCACCAGACCAAATATCAACAGTATAACGATTGAAATGTCTTTTGAGAGCCAAAATTTTTAAACTTAAACTTCTTCTAACGCCACTTCTTCAAAATAGACTCGCTCAGGCCGTGGCATTTTGTGGAAGAGCCCCACTCAAGGGGCCAGAGAGCCGCATGTGGCTTGAGGGACCGCAGTTTGCCAACCACTGCCCTAACTTAATCTTACCTAGCTTACAAAACAATTAAAATTCCATCTATTCTCAGATGACCTCAGCTAGTTACTTCCCTCTCCTATGAAAATTTAGGGTTATCTGCTGCAGTTGGCTCTTGAACAACAGGGGGGTCAGAGGCATGCACCTACCCCTGCACAGTTGAAAATCTGTAACGACTCCCCCTAAATTTAACTGTTGACATAACCCTACTATACCGGAAGCCTTACCAATACCATAGTTGACTAACGTATTTTATGTTACACTAGAGGCCCGATGCACAAAATTCGTGCAAAGGGCTCAGCCCTCACAGCCTGGCTGCCATGGCTCTCGTTGCCAGGGCTGCCTCTGGTGTCCCCGCCCCACCCCATCTTCTGGCAGGCCTTTCAGCCATCTGGTCTAATTAGTATACTGGCTCTTTATTATATAGGATATTTTATATATTGTGTTCTTACAATAAAAATTTTTATTATTCTCTTAAGAACACTTTCTTTAAAGAAAATGTCAGTAATATATTTACTGTATTTATTGAAAAATAACCCATATATAAGTGGATCCATGTGGTTCAAATCCGTGTTGTTCGACCACTTTATAAAATTCACATTTGCAAATTACTTTTAGTCCCCAAGGCCTGTCTTTGTAAATAAAGGTTATTTTGTTGTTTTGTTAATCTCCATCCAAGGATATTTTCCCATTGATTTTTATTTATTTATTTATTTATTTATTTATTATTTAAAATATATTTTATTGATTTTTTACAGAGAGGAAGAGAGAGGGACAGAGAGTTAGAAACATCGATGAGAGAATCATCAATCAGCTGCCTCTTGCACACCCCCTACTGGGGACGTGCCCACAACCAAGGTACATGCCCTTGACCGGAATCGAACACGGGACCTTTCAGTCCACAGACCGACGCTCTATCCACTGAGCCAAACCGGTTTCGGCTGATTTTTTTCTTTTTTTAGATAGAGTGGGGTGGGGGGAGAAAAAAACCCACACACATCGGTGTGTGTGTGTGTGTGTGTGTGTGAAAGAAAAACATTGATGTGAGAGAGACACATTGATTGGTTGCCTCCTGATGGGTTGGGGGTGAACCTGCAACTCAAGCACATACTCGACTGGGACTCAAACCTGTGACCCTTTGTTGCACAAACCAACACTAACCAGTGAGCCCATCCCACTTGTTTATATACTAAGGGTGCTTCGGAGTTAGAATGGCAGAGCTCAATATCTTGTAACAAGACAAGGTGTGCAAAGTCTAAAATATTCACTATCCACCACTTTACAGATAAAGTGTGCAGGCCCTGCGTTAGACTTTTGTTGTTGTTAATCCTCACTCAAGGATATTTTTTGTTAATTTAAAAAAAAGATATTTTTATTGATTTCAGAGAGGGAGAGATAGAAAGGAGAGGGAGAGATAGAAACATCAACGAGGAAGAATCACTGATCGGCTGCCTCCTGCATGCCCACTACTGGGGGTCAAGTCTGCAACCCGGGCATGTGTCCTTGACTGGAATCCAACCTGGGGCTCTCCAATCCGCAGGCCGATGCTCTCTCCACTGAGCCAAACCAGCTGGGGCTCCATTAATTTTTTTTAGAGAGGAGTTGAAGGGAGGGGAAAGACAGAGGGAGAGCAAACCAGCTAGGGCTAGACTCTGAATGCTGTTCACCTTTTTAATATTCATTAAACCATTGCTCCTTGCCAAAACCGGTTTGGCTCAGTGGATAGAGCGTCGGCCTGCAGACAGAAAGGTCCCGGGTTTGATTCTGGTCAAAGGCATGTACATTGGTTGTGGGCACGTCCCCAGTAGGAGGTGTGCAGGAGGCAGCTGATCGATGTCTCTCTCTCATCAATGTTTCTAACTCTCTATCCCTCTCCCTTCCTCTCTGTAAAAAATCAATAAAATATATTAAAAAAACAAAACAAAACAAAACCCAAAAAAACAAATAAAACACTACTGCTCCTTAAAGGGGTGGTACTCTGCAGGTATTTACTTATACACGTTCATACATGTTATTCAGTGTTAGTTTAATGACATCATTGTTCTGAAAAATCAGAAAGAAGGCACTGGTACTTCAAAAACCTAAAGGCACCCTTGCAAGTAATGATTAAGTAAAACCCATTGTCCTGGCTGACTTTGGTCAGTGGTTAGAGCATCATCAAAGGATCTCGGGTTTGATTCCCGGTCCAGGGCACGTGTGGAGACAGCCAATCAATGTGCTCCCTTTCTCTTCCCCTTATTCTTTCCTCTCTCTCTCTATAGAAATCATTAAGAAAAATATTCTGTGAGGATTTTTGAAAAGAGCATTAATCACAATAATTTATATCAGTGTATAATTACAAAGAACATTTTTTTGAGGGGGGTATATTTCTCCCCCTGGCTGGGTAGCTCAATTGGCTAGTGATGTCCCAATATACACGGCAAGAAGCAACCAATGAATGCATAAATTGTTGTTCGACCACTTTCGATGCTCTCCCTAAAATCAATAGGTAAAATTAAGGAAAAAAAAAAATCTCATTCAAACAGGAAAATGCTTAAAAGCAAATGACAACTGTGAACATAAATGTATTAATTCACAGCTATATTAAACTGTTCTTCAGCTGTAAGGCAGAGAAACAAGGTAACAGGAAGGTATGCAAGGTATTTGACAGTCCTTTCTATTCATGTAAATTAAATATTCTGCTAAAAATTTCAAAGTTTAATCTACAGTTAACGTTTTTAAAAACACCAATCTTGAAATATTCTAAATCTTGATTTGGATGCACATGCAAATATTCAAATATACGTGATTTATTTAGGTGTTTACCTCAATTTTTAAAAATTCTAGGCTTTCTCTCTACCCAGAAAACTATTAATCTTATACCAATATTAAGATTATATTCCTAATGTAAAGATGGGAGGAGCTTTAGCTGCTTTGGCTCAGAGGATACAGCGTTGGCCTGTGGACTGAAGGTCCCAGGTTTGATTTCAGTCAAGGGCACAGGCCTGGGTTGTGGGCTCCATCCCCAGTGGGAGGCATTCAGGAGGTAGCCGATCCATGATTCTCTCTCATCATCATTGATGTTTCTAATATCTCACTCCCTCTTTGAAATCAATAAAAATATATTTTAAAAAACGAATAAATAAGAGATGGGAGGATACTGAATCCATTGCGTTGTCTGATTGTCTACCTGCCTCCCCAGTGTTTTTCTTCATGTTGTGAAAATATAATAAAATTCAGACTAGTTTGTTTCTGGCAAAATATCAAAAGGCCACAATAAGGAATTTCTAAAACATAGATGGTTTCACAATATAATTCATTTTGTCTGTGCTAAATGTAATTCACTCCTGTATACTATTCAGAAGAAACACAAATTCCAAAATTCGTTTAGAAGTTAGGAGAGACATCAGTGCCAGAACCGGTCTTCGTAGCATCAGATATGGACCCTGAGTTCAGGAGTTAACCATAACTGCTTCTCCACTTCAGAAATTCTAGAAGTGGTACCAGGGTGAGCTAAGCTATGTCACAGGCTCCTGCTGTGGAACGTGGACAAATAAGCAGAGCAGAAATAGGGGAAAAGCAATGGATAAAGGAAACAAAAAATACTTACCAGTGCAAACAAGATTGCGGCATAAGCCATTTCGGAAATCATGAAAGACACGATTTCGATGTTCCTAGGAGGAGAGCAATGCATTGGATTTGATCAAAATTCATGCACACAGCCCCAAATCCCCACTATTTCTCCTGCACAAAATTTGTTCACACAAATGAGAAGTGAACCAATTCAATATACATATATTTATAAGGTTAAAAACATAACCATAAATTGGTTTCCCATGGGCATTACAAGCAACTAATAATCTCTATATGTTGTATTTAAGTCAAAGGTATTTAGATTTTTTTGCTGAACAATTTTCACCATGTTTTTGTATATATACCCTTTAAAAATGTTTTCCACAGATGATGCCAAGTTCGGCTTGACCAAACTTCTACTGTTTTACCTTTTTAGTAATTATATACAAAAGCTAAAGTAACTACTTTCCAATTAAAGAACTAAAATAGAGCATATAAAATGATTATAGGAAGTTATAAATCTAGCATCTGGCAAACTGGCTTATCTTGTGAGCACAAAATTCTTCCATTTTAAAATATTCTCATCAGCTGAATACATTCATTTCCTATGATAATGTCTAACTGTTAGGCGCCTACATAGTGGTATTGGATCCATGACATTACACTTCTTTGAAAACCAAATATGAGTTAACTAATTTAAGTTCTTAACTTTAACAAGTCTACAGATACTGCTTTTCATGAAATTTCACTTGGTACACACACAAATGTCATTATAGTTTTTAATTTATTCTCTGCTGAATAAAAAGTTCAAAACTTTTAGAGATTCCATCACTTTAAGGCAAATAGAAAAAAAAAAAAAAAGAATACTTGGGTTGAGGAGGTTCATAAATACAGTAAAAATGTAAAATCCTCAGCACTAATGGAAATGTTCTGTATCTGTATGTATCTGTACTGTCCAGAACCGTAGGTGTATCTAAAATTTTTTATTTAATTTTAATTCATTGCCACATGTGGCTAGAGGCTATTGTAGTAAATACTGCACAACTAGAGATAACCTGGGGAAAGAAAGGAATAAAGTCTGACATTTGTATCACTCTTGACAGTTGACAGATATTTGGACATTATCTCAATATTCATTGCGAGATAGGAGTATGCATTACCCTATTTCATAGTTAGAAAAATGGGCCTCCTGGAGGTTAAAATGAAGGGTCCTTCATGCACCAAAGAGTAATTTCTTCTTAAACTCAGGACATTTGGAGGAGCATCAAAACAAAATTCCAAGAAATACTTAAAAGTGTTTTAAAAATCTGTGCATGTTCTAGTTTGACACTCACCTGCCTCATTTTAGCATGGATATAGAAGCAGGAATAACCCAGTTGAGAAATCTTCTTGGCTAGCAATTCAACTCGCTGAGAGGAGTTACAGAAAATGATCGACTGGTTTATCTGAAGCTGAGCACAGAGGGGCGGGAGGGAGAGACATGAGAAAACCGTTACTTACTTTGCACATCTTGAAAATACTGACTGGCAAACAAATGTTAAAACCATGGTCTATGACAGAAAGTCTTATGATACAAAACTGTAAAAATTGTAAATACTATTCATTTCCTTAATATTTGCAGATACTTTATAAGTTTTATTGTAGCACAGTATATTTCATAAGGGCACACAATTGCCAACAAAAACAAAAAATACAACAGTTGCTGCAAATACTGCATTAGTGAATAAAGAACCATTGCTCCTAGGATAAATCCAGTTCCTGTAAACATCTGGTCACAAGGGTTTTTTTTTGTGTGTGTTTTTTAAAACTGGTATTAGAGAGAGGAAGGAGAGAGAGAGAAACATCAATTGGCTGCCTCCCGCATATGCCCCACAATAGATGGAACCTGAAACCTGGGTATATGATATGCCCTGACCTGGAATCAAACCTGCCACCCTGGTATATAGCATGACACTCCACTGAGCCATACTGGCCAGGGCTGGCCCTGAGTTTTTCATCAGTGAACCAATAGCCTTGTTTTTGTGTTACTGTTTAAAGACACATTATTTATTCATTGTCAACAGCATCGTAACTCAAGCCTGTGCAAGCAAGGTTTATTTCATACACATTTCCTCTGTGAGGCACTGAGACTTCCTGTACTTTGGTGCACTAGATAGCACTTTAACCCTATGCTTTTAAACAAAAAAGTCACAAGAATGCAAAAAAGATGTGGCATTAAATAGGCCATGAATATGACCTTAGTTGGGAATATACACAATGACTCAAATTGTTATGCATGTCCACAAATGACCTCAAAAGCATCCAAGTACCAATTGTGATTATAAATTCTGGCAAGTACGAATTTGCAAATACAGTATCTGCAAACGAGGACTGACTAATTACTGCAAACATGAGAATCAACTTTAATTAAGGTCAACTATTTTAAAATTAAATAAAAGTACCTAAGATTTGTCAACTATACCCCAACTTCAGATGAGCTGAAACTATCTTTCAGGAAAAGCTAAAAACTTAAAAAAATAAAAAAACAAACAAACATCTGAAGTGGTGGGGAAACGGATACAATGTGTTTTATTGGGATCAGTAACAGGTAATGTGCAGGAGCCCTGTTCCTTACCCTGGAGAACAATGTGTTGAGGCAGTGCACTTTTTGGCGCTCAGTTACATATGCGTAGTACTGGGTTACTCCCTTCAAAGTTAATTCCTCCATCAGGTTAATCTCATAGGGTTTCTGCAAATGGGAATTCTGAAAATAAATAAATAGAAGACTTATTCTTAAGTGAAAGCAGAATATTTCTCTTAAACTCAAAATATATCTCATACATCTGTCTGGGAAAAAAAACCTATTGCTTTAAGGATGCAGATTTCTTGAAAACAAATATACACAATCTTTCATGAAGAAATAAATTACAATACAATGTGAGGGTTAATAGTTAGATTATGTAACTAAATTACCATTTTATACTCTGTGTAGAGGATTATGCTGTAACTATATAGCATCAATGGCTGTGTCAGCCTGACACCAAAAAGCGAACGAAGAATTTAATCAAATTACTATTTAAAAATTCAGTTAATTTATGCACAACAACCTTATCAGCTGATAAAAAAGCCAAAACTTAAAAATAATCAGCCTAAACTATAGCCTGACAAGAAGATATAATTATGAATATAAATATATGCATGAATAACGGGATGGCACTGTTGCCAGGTTCATCTGCTCACACTCACCATGAACTTCTGTACACTAAGAGGAAAAGTAGCGGAATATAATAAAATCTGTCTGTTTTTAGGTAGCGTGAGAATAATATCCTCCATTATTTGCACAAAATCCTGTGACAGCAACTTATCTGCCTGCAGTACAAGAGAAGACAATTTTAAAAACAATCAAGTAATGACAAGTTCTTTGGGTACCAAGGCATCATACCCCCAAAGCATCCATGGAATGCTCCTGTGGTAAACACGAAGTTCTCTCCGCCACCACATAAGCCAACAGCACCAAGGCACATGGCCCCGTGACTCAGGGGGAAAATGTGAAACCCATCTACAGGGGACATGGTGGCAGATTCCATAATAGAATTTTAATATGATTTCCTATAAAGAGCCAGTATGATATACTGGTTAAAAGTATAGGCTGCAGAGTCAAATTACTTTGATCGAAATCTTGTTTCCTTCAATTTACTACACTGGACGGTTGCTTAACCAATCAATTCTTCACATTCCACAATTTTAAATTAGGATGTGTATTCTCTACAGTAACTTTATTGGATACCTATCTTACAGGATTGTTGCAAAATTAAATTAAAAAAACAAACAAACACGTAAGAGCACTTAGTGTTAGTATATAGTCAATAATAAATGTTCTCTCATTACTCAAAGAAAAAAATAACACGGATCTGAATTAGACCACAATCAACCTGATCTAGCTAGCTAGCTAAAATGCAGACCAAATAGAAAAGTAATTTTATTTCAAAATATTAAGTGATGTACTGTATGTATAAAACACTACTGGGACCCAAGGACACAGAGCTGAGTAAGTTCTTAAAGGCACTTACTACCTAATGAGATAATACAAGTAACAGACTAAAAAACCAAATATAAAATATTATACGCTAAATGAGGGGTTAGAGACATTATATGCCTTTTAAGATATATCACTAAATGGAAAGAGACTTAGCATGAACTTGGTTTGAAGTTATTCAACAACTTTTCATCTTGAAAAATAAAAATAAAATCCAAACTATCTGGCATCCCTAAGAAAGGCACAAGGCTGACCTATTCCTATAAATATCATCTATTGCCTTTAAAGGGCAAAACATCTTTTATAAGCAAATTAGTTTGAACTGATAAAAGTCATGTTTATTAGAAAATCATAAGGAAAACACAAAGAACCTTTGCTCAGCATAATACAGAATAGCATCTTTCCAAATGAAGAGACATTACCTCATCCAATACTATCATCTGGACATGATCAACTTTTGCTACTCCTTTCTTGATAAGATCCAGGATTCTCCCAGGGGTAGCGATTACCACGTGTACTACACAAGATTAGAAAACATTCTCATTAAGTTTAGCTTGGGCAAAAGGATGTAGTAAAAGCTTGCATACATATATAAACCTTTAAAAATATATATCTACTAAAGGCCCGATGCATGAAATTCATGCATGGGTAGGGCCAACCTGTGGGAAACCCGGTGGGGCAATCAGGAGGCCCCCTGTGGGCAGCTCCTGTGTTGAGCGTCTGCCCCCTGGTGGTCAGTGTGCATCACAGTGACCAGACATTCTGCCGGTTGGTTGATTTGCATTGTTGGGAGAGGTAGAAATTTAGTAGTCCCTCCTTATCCAGTTTCACTTTCCATAGTCAAGTGCAGTCTGGAAACATTAAATAAAAAATTCCAGAAATAACTCATAGGCTTTACATTTCGAGCCATTTTGAAAAATGTGATGAAAACTTGCACCTTTCCACTCAGACCTGCCCAGGGTGCAAAGCATCCTTTTGTCTAGTATTCTGCTAACCACCTGTTAAGTCACTTAGGAGTCATCTAGGTTGTCAGATGGTTGTACCTCAGTGCTTGTGTTCAAGAAATATTTATTTAATTAAATGGCCTCAAGTGCCAAAGAGAAGTTGGAACGTGCATCCTTTAAGTGAAAAATGTGAAAGTTCTCTACATAAGGAAAAAAAATGTATGCCGAGTTTGCTAAGGTGTACGATGAGAATCAATCTTCTACCCATGAAACTGTGAAAAGAAATTTGTGCTAGTTTTGCTGTCATACCTCAAACTGGGAAACTTATGATGATCACTGTAAATATAAGTGCTTAGTTAAGATGGAAAAGGCATTAAATTTATGAGTGGTAGATGTGAACTGAAAAAGGCCAAATTCACCTAACTTTTATTACAGTACTAGAGGCCCCACGCACAAAAATTCGTGCTGGGGAGGGTGGGTGGGTGGATGGATGAGGGTGTCTCTCTCAACCTAGCCTGCCCCCCTCACTCCAGGAGCCCCCGTCACTGTCCCCATCACCCTACTAATGCTTCCGGCCCTCAGCCCTAGCTTCTTAGCGCTGGCCCCACTCCCTGCCCTCAGGTGGGCGGGGCCATCTGGGGCCAGGCTGGCTGGGGGAAGGGGCTGAGAGGCTGAGGCTGAGCAGCTTGCATTCCGTCCAGCCTCTGCAGAGGTGTGGCACTTGAACTGGGCCCGCGCTACTGCCTCTGTGGCTGCCTGTGTGGAAGGGGCAGCCCTGGGACCGGGCCATGCCACCTTTGCCTTCTCACCGCCTATGCAAAAGGGGCTGAGGTGCCAGACTGGCCCGCCCCTCCCACGCAACCTAGGCCCTCACAGCCGCTATAGCTTTGTCCGGATGGACGTCAGCTCTAATTAGCATATTGCCCTTTTATTAGTATAGGCATTGCTGTAATTGTTCCATTTTATTATGTTACTGTTAATACCTTACCTAATTTATAATGTGTGTGTATGTATGTGTGCGTGCGAGCATGTGTGTAAGATGTGGCACTCCCCTAAGTTTCAGGCACCCACTGGGGGAGAGGAGGTCTGAGAACATATCCCATGCAAAGTAAGATTGGATTACTGTAGTACAGAGAGACAAAATTTGTATTTTAGGATAGGGATTTCTACTTCATCTTAGGTTGACTAAGATATACTTATTTGTTTCACCTCTACATGGGATGGGCTCAAGGTTCCTAAATCCCTTGCTCTCCTTCTTAGGACAATCCCTAGTGAATAACAAAAGGCATACCAGGCTTCTAATATAGTGGACTTTTTCAACTAGAGTTATAAGGATCAAATGAGATAATCATTTAAAATAACTGTGTAGTAGGTGCCCGGCTAGCTCAGTCGGTAGAGCATGAGACTCTTAAAATAACTGTGTAGTATGAAGACTACAATAACTGATCTAATGACAACCATATGAAAATCTAATATTCTAGCCAAAGCTGGTTTGGCTCAGTCTGCGGACTGGAGGTCCCAGGCTCGATTCTAGTCAAGGGCATGTACATTGGTTGCGGTCACATCCCCATTGGGGGATGTACAGGAGACAGATGGTCCATGTTTCTCTCTCATTGATGTTTCTTTCTTTTTTTTCTAAAAATATATTTTATTGATTTTTTTACAGAGAGGAAGGGAGAGAGATAGAGAGCCAGAAACGTCGATGAGAAACATCGACCAGCTGCCTCCTGCACACCCCCCACCGGGGATGTGCCCGCAACCAACGTACATGCCCTTGACCGGAATCGAACCCGGGATCTTTCAGTCCACAGACCGACGCTCTACCACTGAGCCAAACCAGTTTCGGCTCACTGATGTTTCTAACTCTCTATCCCTCTCCCTTCCTCTCTGTGGAAAATCAATAAAATATACTTAAAAAAAAAAGAGAGACAATCTAATAATCTATGTATAATTTTATACATAAGATTTCATTGTTTTATCTTTTCCCCCACACAGTAATGTATCATGGAGAACCCTTCATAAAAATACAGATGAGCTTCATGCTTTAATGGCTGTGTGGAATTCCATTCAGACTATCCTCTAATGTTTAGGGTTTTCCAATTTTTCAGTTCTACAAAACCACAACGTAGTAAACAACCTCACATTTGGCCAATTCTTTCTTTAGGAAAGATACTTGAAAATATATATTTATAATTTTGAAACATGCCAACTTGCCCACCATAGAGACTGTATCAATTTATATGCCTATATTATAAGGTAGCCTATTTTGCCACAAACTCATGTTATTGGTTATTAATTTTTTTTGGTCTTGCCAATCAGAAAGGCACAATATCAATTTGCTGTTCTTATTTACATTTTTCATTTCTATTACTATCTTTTAGATTTTTAGGACACAGAAGGGGGTGAGGGAGAGAGGGAAGAAGAGATAGACAGATAAACATTAATTGGCTTCCTGCATTCAGGGTTCAAACCCACAACCTAGGTATGTGCCCTGACCGGGATTCAAGCCTGCAATCCTTTGGTGCAGGATAAAACACTCCAACCAACTGAACTACCTGGCCAGGACCCTTATTAATTCTTAAGAACAATTAGCTATTGAAAGGAAGCACCAGGTATGCAATTAACTAAGAGAGTGAGGTGACCTGGGTCAGTTATGTCCTACCTGTGTCATCGAGCCTCATTATGTCATCACGTAAATTGGTTCCTCCTGTGGTTGCCATCACTTTGGCCCCTCCCATGTGTTTGCTGACCTGGATGCAGATTTGACTGACCTGTAGAGCAAGTTCTCTTGTAGGAACAATCACCATTGCTGAAAAATAACAAGCACAGAGAAAATAGAAAAAATAACATATTTTAAGAGTTTAAGAAGCTACAGAAATACTGCTCCTTGCAATCTAGATCCTCAGCATATTAAAAAGTTAAATCATAATAGACCTAACCAATTACAAAACATCAAATGAACAAAGCTTTAAAAAAATTAAAACAAAAAAAAAACAACAAAAAAAATAAAACTGCGCGCGCGCGCACACACGCAAACAAAAACCCTGCTTAGTAATCCAACTATAAACTTTTCCTAAACAATGTTGCTAGAAGTCTTGTTCTGTTCTCAATTAGAAACCTTTAAAGGGTTCCCTATAAGTTGGCAGATGCTTAAAGTTTATTAATTTAATATTTCAGTAAGACTCACTAGTCTACAGCCCCAAATAGGGAACTCTTGCCCCAGGTATGAAAGTAGGTAAATGAAAGATGGGAGAAATGGTATTTATAGGTCACAACAGCTGGGGGAAAAAAACTGCTTTAGAAGTGAAAACTTAACTCTCTTAGCTTACTTTGGGTACAAGCATGAAAATGTTTCTTCCCTACTGCCTCAGCTCTTAAAATTCCAAAAACATGTGGCTTTAAAGAGAAAAAATTTGCCCTAACTGGTTTGGCTCAGCAGATAAGAGAGTCAGCCTGCAGACTGAAAGGTCCCAGGTTCGGTTCCGGTCAAGGGCATGTACCTTGGTTGCAGGCACATGCCCAGCAGAGGTGTGCAGGAGGCAGCTGGTCGATGTTTCTCTCTCATCAATGTTTTTAACTCTCTATCCCTCTCCCTTCCTCTCTGTAAAAAATTATATATATATAAAAGAGAAAAGATTCATGTTTCTATAGGAAACTTGCAGATAAACAGCTGCCACAGAAACAATTCAGTTCCACAGTTTTTTTCTATTTTGTTTATTTTTGTTCATTAGATTCCAACATATAAGAGAAATCACAGTTCCATAGTTTTTTTTTTGTTGTTGTTGTTTTAATATATTTTATTGATTTTTTTTTTTTTGCCCACCTCTCTCACTCCCACACATCCCCTCCCTCCCCAGAGTTTTATGTCCATTGGTTGTACTTATGTGCATGTATAAAAGTCCTTTGGTTGATCTATTATCTCCCCCAGATCTTTGGGGGAGAGGGGAGAGAGGGGGGGGAGAGGATGTGTGGGACACAGAAGGGGGTGAGGGAGAGAGGGAAGAAGAGATAGACAGATAAACATTAATTGGCTTGTATAAAATCAACTGATCGATGTTGATTTTTATACATGCACAAAGGACTTTTATACATGCACATAAATCGATGAGAGAGAGTCATCGATCAGCTGCCTCTTGCTAATCATGAGAAGTTAAATTGTTGGATATTATTACTTAAAACTATGGAACTGGAGACAGTATACCAACATCAAACTGTCAAATTACAGCGGGGGGGGAGAGAGGAAGGGAGAGAGATAGAAAGCTAGAAACAATCGATGAGAGAGAGTCATCGATCAGCTGCCTCTTGCACACCCTCTACTGGGGATATGCCCACAGTGAGGGAGAGTCAGCTGATCGATGACTCTCTCTCAGCTGATCGATGACTCTCTCTCATCGATGACTCTCTCTCATCATTTAACTTCTCATGATCAGCAAGAGGCAGCTGATCGATGACTCTCTCTCATCGATTGTTTCTAGCTTTCTATCTCTCTCCCTTCCTCTCCTCCCCTCCCCGCTGTAATTTGACAGTTTGCTTGTTGGTATACTGTCTCCAGTTCCATAGTTTTTAAGTAATAATATCCAACAATTTAACTTCTCATGATCTTAGTGCTCCTATCTATAAGGCAATAGCTTACTTTGCCTGTATCACTGGAATATTATCAAAACTCCATAATATAAAACTTTTTTTGAAAACTACAAATCTCTTTAAAGAGCTGTGGGAAAAAAAGGATAAATACTAATTCCAGACTAGTTCTAGCTTAAAAAAATTATCTTCTACATAGCTCCAAGGTCTAACTTGTTATTTTCAGTTTAACCAAACAACTAACCTTGTATATTGTCCTTCTTCAGGTCTAGCCGTTCAAGTAAGGGAATGAGGTAGGCACCACTCTTGCCCGTTCCATTTTTTGCTCTAGCTAAAATATCCCTACCAGATAAAGCGATGGGAATGCTCTCCTCCTGAAAGAGACGAGACAATACAAATTACTTGTGAATAAAAATAACACAGTCTGGCCAGTGTGGCTCAGTGTTTTGAGCGTCAACCTATGAACCAGGTGGTCCCAAGTTCGATTCCCAGTCAGGGTACATGCACGGGTTGCAGGCTCGTTCCCCAATGGGGGGCATGTAGGAGGCAGCCAGTCAATGATTCTCTCATCACTGATGTTTCTATCTCTCTTTCACTCTCCCTTCCTCTCTGAAATCAATTTAAAAAAATATATTAAAAACAAACAAACAAACAAAAACAGGACATAAGCAAATTTAAAATATATATATATATTTTATTGTTTTTTTTACAGAGAGGGAGAGGGAGAGTTAGAAACATCGATGAGAGAGAAACATCGATCAGCTGCCTCCTGCACACCCCCTACTGGGGATGTGCCCGCAACCAAGGTACATGCCCTTGACTGGAGTCAAACCTGAAACCCCTCAGTCCGCAGGCCGATGCTCTATCCACTGAGCCAAACCGGCTAGGGCGAGCAACTTTTTCTCTAAAATACACTGAAGGTGCCGAGACCGGTTTGGCTCAATGGATAGAGCGTCGGTTTGGGGACTGAAGGGACCCGGGTTCGATTCCGGTAAAGGGCATGTATCTTGGTTGTGGGCATATCCCCAGTAGAGGGTGTGCAAGAGGCAGCTGATCGATGACTCTCTCTCATCGATTGTTTCTAGCTTTCTATCTCTCTCCCTTCCTCTCTGTACAAAATCAATAAAATATATTAAAAAATAATAATAATAAAAATAAATAAATAAAATAAACTGAAGGTGTATCACTTTGATATTGCTTTAACGTGCCTTATATGTTTGCATTTACAAGAATAAGTAAGTAGAGACGACGTAAATTAGCAAGACCAGTCAACATCACCATCATTATTAACCAGTATTTACTAAAACTGCTCACAGGATATATATTAAATTGCACTCCAATGTAATAAAACACTGTACATGTAAGTGTGTATGGCCAAGGAAGCTGAGCATCAACAACAAAGAGAACAAAGAAAGGAGGAACTTAAGCTGACACATAGAAACTTGAGCTGACACACACAAAGAAAAAAGCAGAAGACAATTAAAAAACTGGAGAAAAAAGTGACAAAAAAAATACAAAGCGAATACTATATATGATACTTTAGGACTAATAAGCCAATTTTGCAATGAAAACTTGTATCTTGGAAAACTTAGCCTTGCACAAAGCAGGAAAAGGCTGGAAAATTCTAACCTCAGGTCCTATTTCATAGTTAATAATTATATCCATAAACCTCCAATATCTGTCTATATAGCCAACTCCTCTGTCCTGAAATATGCTCATATGGAGAGTGAATTCCAATCTAGTTACCTCAATCCATGGTCACATTCCTGAGGGGGACTCTCATTTTCATATTGAAATTACTGTCATGTGTGTTTTGCAGAAGACAACATTTCCTATTAACTCAGGACTAATTTTCCAGACAATAGCAAAGGAGTCTCACAGTTACTAAAAAATAAATACACATATATATTGGGAAACTAAAAAGGCAGAACAGTATAAACAGGGAGGAAGCAGAACATTCCTGTTTCTCAAATTAAAGACATTAATTTTAATTTTTAAAACTATAAAGTTAGGCCCAGCCAGTGTGACTCAGTGGTTGAGTGTCAGCCTATGGACCAGAGGGAAATGGTTGGATTCCAAGAGCGTACATGCCTGGGTTTCGGCAGCTCAGTCTCCAGTGTGGGGCATGTGGGTGGCAGCCAATCAATGATTCTCTCATCATTGATGTTTCTCTCTCTCCCCCTTCTCCTTTCCTCTCTGAAATCAATTAAAAAAAAAAAAAAAAAAAAAACTAAAAAAATAAAGGAAAATAAATGAAATTCATAATCATTGTAATAATTAGTTCTTTCTATACCTAAGCTAATGAATGACCAAAAGAAATCTCTCCAGCACTTTAAACATTTAAAAAAAAAATACATTTTATTGATTTTTTACAGAGAGGAAGAGAGAGGAGGGATAGAGAGCTAGAAACATCAATGAGAGAGAGATACATCGACCAGCTGCCTCCTGCACATCCCCTACTGGGGATGTGCCCGCAACCAAGGTACATGCCCTTGACTGGAGTCGAACCTGGAACCCTGCAGTCCGCAGGCCGATGCTCTATCCACTGAGCCAAACCGGTTTTGGCTTAAACATTTTTAAAATATATTTTTATTGTAGAAATATCTAAGTCATAAGCATAATTCTATTTCCTACCATGACATTCATTCTACCCAGAACCCAATCACAGGAGTCAGATGGGTTCCGTATGGTCAAAATAACTAGCATAGATGCCAGAACTGAGAAAATGGTCCGTGACAATTTTGTTATCTTGTTCCTATAACCAACAGGAAATAGTCTGCTTATTGTGGTAAAGCAGGCCAAGGAAGAAAATGCCTGGAGATCAAACCTGCAACCTTGGCCTATCAGGACAACACTTTACCCACTGAGCACCCGGCCACGGCCTCTTCCATGGTGTTAAACAGCCACCTGCACACTATAGCAAAAAAAAAGGGGGGGGGGATGGGGCTAAATGGTCTCCAAGGGGTTTCCAATGGTTTTCTGAGCCAGGTCCTTTAAAACTATGGAAATTTTCAATGAAGGCAGGCAGGTGGCTAATTTGGGGGCACCCTAATATGTCTTTGATTTAGATGGAGGCTCCTAACTTCTACATTCCTCTATTTTCTTTGATGGGGCTCACGCTCTATGGAAACGGTTGAAGGGTAAGACTTTGTCACAAAGTCAGTAAGCTGCCAAGAAGAGGAGAAAAGCAAGCCTAAAATTCTTAGAACACTGTGTGCGAGGCACTCTGCAAGGTAGACACCTTAGGGTATCTACGTCCTTTCAAATTTGGTGCTTTTTGTTTTACAATTTATAAGATGGATCCTCAGAGATTAATTTTTTGCCCAAGGTCATGAAGCAAGAAATGCCAGAACCAGGACTTAAACTTAGGTCTGCAAGTAACAACATGTAAGTGAGGATGTGGAGAAATCAAAACCCTCATATAGTTAGTGGGAATGTATAGCCACTTTGGAAGTCTGGCAACTCCTCAAAATGTTAAAGAGCATTAGCATATGAATCCACAATTCCACCCCCAGATATATAACCCCAGAGTGAAAACATCTCCACACAAAACTTGTACATTAATGTTCATAGCGGCATCTATATAATAAAAGCCCAGCGGCTGTTATGGCAGAACGACCGGTGGCATGACACACCAGGCACAGGGGCCACCAGTGCCGCTGCCGAGCCCAAGGGCCCCAGGGTCAGTTGTGCTGCTGCCGCCGCCGCCGCCGCCGCCGCCGCCGCCGCCGCCGCCGCCGCCGCCGCCAAAACACCAGTTAAGAACGCGAAGGGACCGAAACCGGTTTGGCTCAGTGGTAGAGCGCCGGTTCTGCGGACTGAAAGGTCCTGGGTTCGATTCTGGTCAAGGGCATGTACGTTGGCTGTGGGCACATCCCCGATAGGGGATGTGCAGGAGGCGGCTGGTCGATGTTTCTCTCTCATTGACGTTTCTGGCTCTCTATCTCTCTCCCTTCCTCTCTGTAAAAAATAAATTAAAAAAAAAAGAAGGACGCGAAGGTGGCCAGCGTGAGCATGCAGCTTGAGATGAGTCTCGGTGGGACAAATTAAATCAGCTGGGCACTGAGATGGCAGTCACCAAGGCTGGCAGGTCAGGACACCCTTCTCCCTGCTGCGACCCTCTCCACGTGGCACCTGTCTCGGGCAGCAGGCTTTGGCCCAATCCACGTGAGCAAGACTGAGAAGCGGGGTGGGGGGCACGGCCTGGCCACCTGTGGGTCCCTCTCCACACGCCAGCTCCTTTGCCCTCCGAGTCCTGGCTCTAGCAAAAGGCGCCTGGCGTGCCAGAACGGAAGGTACTGCTCAGGAGGCCAGGAAGGCGGCAGAGAGAAACCTGTGAACCTGCTACCTGAGCAGCAGCCCAGGACCCGGAACCATCAGAAATGGACCGGCTCAGAGCACACCGAGCTTGGGGGGGAAGGCAGCCGCCTGGGAGGGGCCTTGCCACCAGCAGCTCCTGGTGGACCCATTTCAAAAGAAACTCGGTCTTTGGTTCCTTAGTTCAGTCTATGCCGGCTAAAAAGGAGCGCTGGGCACGTTTTAGGGGAGAATTAAGACTCTAAAGCAGTGTGCTCTGTTCTGTGGAGATTGCTACCCAGTTGTCTTAGGCCTAAATTCCGGGTGATGGTGGGGCCTGTGCCTTCCAATTGGCCCAAAGAGAAGAAGGGGAACAAGTTTTCAATGCAATGGATTTGACCAAGACAAAGGAGAGTGGCGGGCTGAGTCTAATATACACAGAGACCCCAGCTCTGAGTCCCTGGGGCCAAAGGGAGCTCAGGGCCTGTTTGCAGAGCTTTCCTCCCTGGGAAACTCTGGGCCCATGCTCAGCTCCAGCTCAGTGGGTCTTCTCCAGACCCTCCCCCTCCCCTGATTGGGGGCGGGGCTGGCCGGCCAACCTCCTAAGGCCCCTCCCCCCAGTGGCCTGGCAAGGATGGACCCCACTCTGCACGAATTCGTGCACCAGGCCACTAGTTATTTATAATAGCTAACAGTGCCATACAATGGAACATTACTCAACAGAAAGGAATGAAGTTTTGATATATGTTACAACATGGATGACTCCCTAAGGAAATATAAGAGGAGACCATATATTGTATAATTCTATTTATAGGAAATGTCTAGAATAGTTAAGTCCATAGAGACAGAAAACAGATTAGTGGCTGCTTACGCCTAGGGGAAAATGAGAGACTGCTAAAGGAGTTTCCGTTTAGGGTGATGAAAACGTTCTAAAAGTGATTGTAGTATTGATTGCACAACTGTGACTATACTAAAAACCACTGTATAGTTTAAATGTGTGAATTATAAGCTATTTGAGTTATATCTGAATTTAGTCCAACAATCCCACAACCTTAGTCTGATGGCAGAATCATGCCAC